ATATCCTTGCTCACCACCAGTCATGCCGGTGGCTCCTCCACCGTATCCTCCACCAGTTCCATAACCTCCTCCTCCGGTCGCTCCTACACCCCCAGCCCCACCGATGGGGTTTCCATACTCGTCCAACTGCTGGACCGGGTTTCCATACTCGTCGGTTGCCTGAGATCCTGGCCTGTTCTGGTAAGACGCCATCTTCTTCTTCTTCTAAAAAAACACTTTCAGTTTATAGCTAAAACACTTGATTTGTGTGATAGTAAGACTTTGATGAGTTTGATCGACGAAGGTTCGTTACCGCATGAAAGGTTATTTTATAGTCAGGTTTCGGATATGGATCAGCTATTAAAATATTTGGGAAGTGACGCGTGGCAGTAGTAGAAACTGTCGGCGTGGTGCTTCCTGACACGTGTCTACAGATAAACCGAACTGTTTATGTTTATGGATTAAAGAATTCGGATGGATATTTTTCGAGCTTTCAAAGTCGACACTCGAGTACGTGTTCATAACAATCCCATGACAGGGTGATATAGGTGGAAAGAAAAATATCTGTTCTTTTCTTTGTGTCGGTACTAAACACTATCGTAGATATTAGACACGTAGCACTTTGTCCTTGAAATCGATGCGTCTTGCTTTTAATGCGAGACGTCGTTGTTAAATTATTTCCATAACACGTACTACGTATTGGATTTGGACGTATTCGAAGAAACTTTCATGGGCCTGAGAAATTTGGGCTCAACTAATAAGCCCATGGACCAAAACTGAGGCCCTACACTCTCAACTCCACTCACCAAACGCTGCGTTTTGATTCGTCTTTTTCGTTTTTCAGTTGTCGGAGATTCTCTCTCTCTGCACCAGATTTCAAATTGTTCTTAACAAAAAGCTCGGATTTTTTTTAACTTTCTGGGTTGAATATTTGGTCTGTTGAAAATGGATCCAGATGCAGTGAAGTCGACCCTTTCAAATCTGGCATTCGGGAATGTATTGGTGGCTGCTGCTAGAGATTATAAGAAGGTAATTAATATTTTCCCTCGAATTTTGATTTGACCAATCGACACGATTTTTCATCGTTGCTTTTGTAGAGAACTTGGAAAATTGTTCGTCGTAGATCTTGATTTTTCGCTTTTTCCGAATACAACTTTTAGTTGTGATTAGTTTTTTCGAATCGTTTAGAACAAAAGGAATTTGCTGCGGAACCCTTGATTTCCACATAATTGTTAGTTTATGGCTTGTGATGTCGTTGGGTGAGCCAAGTAACAGGAGATGAATCTAGGACATATGTGCTTAGATTCTGTTCCTTGTCTCGTGTTTCTGTCTGATATTTTAACAATGGAAAATGGATATGATGTTTTTGTTTGTTTGTTTATGCATTCGGAGCAGGAAGTTCTTGCAAATGAAAAGGCGCAAGCTTCAAATCCTGCCAATGAGGAGGTTGATTTTGACGATTTGATGGATGTAAGTCCAATGTTGCTCTCTTCTTTGAAATGTTCGTCTATATCAGATGTTATGATTCTGTCTCTATGGGAGACTGACTTGCTCATGTTCTGTAGGATCCAGAGCTAGAAAAGTTGCACGCAGATAGAATTGCAGCACTCAAGGTTAAACTTCATTCTGCATCTATATTGTGTTTCACTTCATTAGTATAGACTAACCTAACCCCGAGGTTTGACTGTGCAGAGAGAAGTGGAAAAGAGAGAAAGGTTCAAAAGGCAAGGACATGGTGAATACCGAGAAGTAAGCGAGGGCGATTTCTTGGGAGAAGTCACAAGGAGTGAGAAAGTGATATGTCATTTCTACCACAAGGAATTCTACCGGTGCAAGTAAGATGCAATACCCCCACTCTCACAGCACTTGTTTTTGGTCTTCTGATATGTGAATACTCAGAACTGAAGCTATGCACTTGATCATTGTAGGATAATGGACAAGCATCTGAAGACCCTTGCACCCAGACATGTGGATACAAAGTTCATTAAGATGGACGCAGAGGTCAGTAAAACTACTTGATTAACCCTTCTCTGAATCTCCATTTTTGTGGGTGTTAGCTCTTCTAAAACTTGGGAGACGGTCAATGTAGAACGCTCCCTTCTTCGTCACCAAGCTTGCAATCAAGACCTTGCCGTGTGTTATCCTTTTCAGGTATTTTCTACACTTTCACTCATGCTTGGCTTTACGCAATTTTGGTCTTTTTTATCGTTTTTGGAGATTTTAAACTAATGAAAACACGAATGTTGAAATCATTATTCTTCAGCAAGGGAATCGCCATGGATAGGCTTGTCGGGTTTCAAGATTTAGGGGCCAAGGACGATTTCAGCACGACGAAGCTGGAGAACGTTCTGGTTAAAAAAGGTAGAACCAATATCTCTCATCTAGGCTTCGCTTTGGCTATGGCTCCATAATAGTTTAAAGCTTTGGTCACTTAATGAATCTTTTTTCGCAGGAATGCTTAGCGAGAAGAAAAGAGAGGAAGACGAGGAGGAGTACGAGTATCAAGAAAGCATACGTCGGTCCGTTAGGTCTTCAGAGAATGTCAACTCTGATTCAGATTGATCTCAAAGCTCTTTCTCTTGCGAGATCTCTGACGCTTCTTGTATTTGTTTTTGCCGCTGCTCTGTTTTCTATCCTTTGGTGTATGAATCTTGAGCTTTTTATTCAAGTTTGTAATGAGAAAATTCGTTATATAATTTCTCAAAATCCACACTCACCTAGAAATTTATGATATAATCGGGATCGTTTAATTCATCTTTCCTCAAGAAATTTACATATGTGATATAATCACAAAATCCGTGGACTATATAACCTAATGATATTTCAGTGTTTGTTGCAAGAAATAGGAAAAGTAATCGATTTTTTTGGTCAACTGCTTTATTCATATAAATATTGATACTGGTTTTCCATTATCATTGGTAAAATAAAACCATGCAACAAGGAAAACATCTGCCACACTCGCACAACACAAGCCAATATACAAGAAGAACAAAAAAAGAAAGGTTTGTAGTAAACTTCACTTGATCGCTATGGATTTGTATTTCTGAACAGTGCTTGTTATAGCTTGCTCTACAGGTAGCCTTTCCATGCTTGATGCTCCATAGAAGCCATGGACACAACCCTGTGTTCTCTTCAACACAAACTCTGCCTCCTCTGGACCCGATATCGGACCTACATACAAATAGCTTTACTACAACAACTCTCTCATCAATCACTAAATGTTGGATTTCGAGAGAATTTACTATACCTCCGTGGCAGAGAAGTATGATGTCAGGATTGAATCTACGAGCAGCATCTGCAATAGCTTTTACACGAACAACGCTTTCTTCCACTGACACTGCGGTTTTCGCACCAATATTTCCAGATGTCGTTAGACCCATGTGTGCTACTATTATATCAGCTCCTGCTTTCGCCATTTCTTCTCCTTCTTTTGGGTTGAAAGCATATGGTGTGGTCAGTAGCCCGATTTTATGCGCTTCTGAGATCATTTTAACTTCCAGGCTGCAACATCGGACAATTTAAGTTTGCCGTATGGACATTTAAACAATCTACATACAAAAATGATTCTTGAAAAGGGTTTTCTTTTTGTAGCTTGCTTACCCATATCCCATTCCCGTCTCCTCAAGATTCTGTCTAAAATTACCATCAAAGAGACCTACAGTTGGAAAGTTCTGGACCCCAACAAAACCAATGGACTCCAACTGCTTCAGAAAATAGTCCATACGTCGAAATGGATCGGTTGCGCATACTCCAGCAAGAACAGGCACCGCCTTCACTACCTGCAAGTTGGATTCGACATAAGAAGACAGGCCGTAGAGAGAAAATGCACGAATAAATAACCGGAGCAACTGGAAAGACATGCAAGCTTCTTGAATAAGAAACTAACGGGCAAAACTTCATTTGCCATTTCAAGCACGACTGCGTTGGCATCAGCAAATGGAAGCAAGCCTGCTAATGATCCTCTTCCAGCCATCCGGAAACGTCCAGAATTGTATATCACAATCAAATCAATCCCACCAGCTTCCTCAAATTTTGCAGATATTCCCGTACCAGCACCTCCCCCGATTATTGGTATTCCCTTCTCTATTTGATCTCTTAGCCGTCCCAGAATGGTCTGAGTTCGTTCCAGGGTTTCTGGAGCCAATGAAGATAAGTAAGCTTTCTACTCCAACATGCAATTCCGTGTCAGAATGACTAGAACTGCCAATCGGTTCGATTTTACTGATCATTATGATTGGGAACGACAAAAGAAACCTGGTTTTGCATTGGGGAAATCTTTGGGACTGTATGGAATCCTTTCAGGCCTCGAACTCATCTTAGCCACATGTCCCTCATCAGGCTCTCCAGTGCTGGTTTTCGTTGAAGCCGTTTCAGAGGGTTTGATTTGTGCATAGTCTTTCGGATAGATCTCAAGAAATGAAGCTACCAATGCCTCTGCAAACTCAGGGTCATTGATGTGGTGAGGATAAATATTGACCTGTCAAAAACACAACATTTCAATACCTAAAAGTAGATGAAGCAAAGCAAAACAAAACACGAAAGTACACAAGAAATAAGGAAATACCTGTCTGTCTTCACTTGTTTGAATAAGCCTCTGCAGTTCATTCATGATAGCGCCACTAGCTTCCGGATCACAGAAAGGCTTCCCTGGAGCATCCAGTGCTGAGACACCTTTCTCTGGAAGGCAAACCCTTACTTTTGATGTTGATTTGTTCAATTTATCAGCAATAAACCTTGCGAATTTTTTATTCTCTTCTGCTGTTGTTCGCATGAGAGAAACCTATCAAAAACAGAAACAAGGAAACTAAACATGATATCCGTAGTTCAAGGACGGGAAGAAGCACTTTTTCGATTGATTCCTCACCTGTTCATTGTGAACATGAATCTTTCTCGTTTGGAAATGAGAAGGTATTGTATCTTTGCTACCAAAGTTCACCATATCTACGGCCCCTACACTTAAAACCAACGGTATTCCTTTTTCTATGATTATATCGAAACGGGAACTATCGCATGCCATCACCCCTCCAACTACATGGTCTGCAACCTCGGTAGTTGTAATATCCATTACTCCCTAAGGAAAGAACAGGTAAAAGGAAACATTAGAAGTAACCTACGCCACAACCAAAAATGAAGGACTAACTGATTCCATTGCTCTGCCACCGACACCTATAAGTAATAATGGAGAAAAAAATCATGAAGCTATAAGTAAAGCAAATCTCGGCGAATGGAGAAAAAAAGAGAAACCTGTATAAACCCTTCTTTAACCAAAGATTCCATTGCTCTGCCACCGACACCCGTGGCATGAAACACAAGTGTCTCATAACCTTCTCTTGTTAATATTTCTTGAACTGCATTTACACATGGAGTTGTTACCCCAAACATAGTTATACCCACAGTAGATTTCCCGTTCTCACTCACGGAGCTTTTAAACATCTCAAGCCTCCTGACTACCATACCCGCAAAAGAAGCCCCAGCATTTGAAAACACGACCCTACTAACACTGTTGATACCACAGACATCTACTACAGAAGGAATTAAAACCAAATCTGATGTCCCAACATAAGGCTCGGTTTGACCACTGGCCACAGTTGATACAATGACCTTAGGAATCCCAATCGGGAGAGACCTAAAAGCCGATGATATCAGCGACGTTCCTCCGCTTCCACCAAGGCCTATTACCCCAGCAAGAGAATTGTCCTCAAGCGCTTGCCTAAGAAAATTCTCAAGACACTTACTCATGATACCAACTGCCTGGCCTCTACCATCGGGAAGCTTCACCGGTGGTTTGGTCGATCCAACATAGCATGACAGAACTTCTTCTCTTGTTACAAATGCAAAGTCTGCAACTTTCTCGATCTCCTTATGATCAGTACTCGCCGAAACATCCACAATCACTACCTCAACCTGTTATTCCACTAAAAATGCTCAGAAACACCAACAATCTCCAACCTCCCAACTCTCCAAAACAAAGACAAACAATAGATAACCAAACCACAATTCTTCAAACACATCCAGAAATCCCAGAATTAGACTACAAAAAATCATACAATAATAGTAACCAAGTAAGATCACGAATAGCAATTTTCAAATAGCTCACACTCGAGTGAACTAAGATATTTCTGTGTCGGAGCTGATTTACCTTGGAAGATGAGTTATTGGAGAAGGCGTCGATATTCGATCGCACTGATCTTGCAAGGAATCGTAGCTCATCAAGCTTCGTATCGACGGTTCCGACACAGTACACTCGACAAGTTTGGCCTTGCATCGTCGTCGTCTCGCACACGGATTGAAAACCTCCGTTTCGGGGGAATCCAGCACTAAACTACTCTCTGATTACAATGCGACCGGAATCTTGGATTTGATGATTTCTCCTGTCGGTCGGTTGGTGCATTCCGATTTTCGATTAGCTTTTTTTCTATATTACATAATCCACCTATAGTTTTGTTCGGTAACAAATATAACCTATAGAATTGTTTATTACAAAATTGGCCTCCGTTTTTTTTGTTTATTATGGAATTTTGTTTATTACAAAACTACCCGTATAGCTTTATTTATTGTAGAATTCTGATTATTACGGAAATTCCCAATAATTTACATTTTTTACGATTCGCCCTATAGTTTTTTCTATAACAAAATCCCAAATACATTATTTTATTACAGATATTCCCAATAGTTTTGTTTACTACATCGGCTCTCCCGTGTGGTGTGAGAACTATTTTCCTCTTGTCGTAGACTCGTAGGTAATTTAATTATTCTGGTCAAGTGATTATGTTGATCGGTCCAAATGCATTAACATTGTCCTAATCTCGAATAAATTTGGACAACATATACATTAAAAAATTACTTTCGAATCAAGGAAACAACTAAACTAACAGTTGTTTTGTTCATGCAGCTAGCATGGTATGCAAACTTGTTAAACAATGCGTTGATAATATCATCTCCGAAGTGAGCTGCAAGTAACGGTTCACTGACCGCTCTTATACACTTTGCTTCCTTTTGCCCTGCTTTAGATATATGTGTATGTAACCTATAGTCCTCGTCTTGGTTACTCTTGCCAAGATCAAATCCATGAAGCTCCAAGTCATTGATTTCAAAGGAGCCTTCGTTCCGAATCATCTCTTTACCTTCTTCTTTGGTCGGATCATAAAACGGCATTTTGAAAGAATAAACCTTTGATGCACTCACAAGACCCTGTATTGTAGATCATATAACAAGCTCGAATCTTTAAAAACCATGCGTGAACAAATTCAATATGTCGAAAATTAGTATTTTTATATGTTATCTCAGACACTAAGTCGCACAGAGATTTGGATAACAATGTCCAAAAGTGACAACAATCCCTATACTATGGATCATCAAGAGTGTTTCTACCAATAAAAGTGAGAACCATGCGTCCATTAGAAACCATCTCTTCAGGACGTATTTTCAGAAATGTCGTAAAGTCTCTTTGGAATTGATTCAAATAAGCCTTGTATTCACTTGGCAGACTTGAAGTTGTTATGTACACACTCGAAGAATTCTTCTGAAGTCCATCGGGAACGTAAATTATAAGCCCCCTTAACTCCATATCGTTATAATAGACAGGCACGTATAGTATAGTTGTAATACCTTAGAGAGAAAATGGAGACTGTAAAATGAATGTACGAAATGGAGATTCTTGAGGGGAAAGAGCCTCGAGTAGAAGGAACCGGGGACTCCAGAGACAAAGCACAATCCTCTGCTTTCGACCCTCTTTTTGAAGAAAGGTATGAAAGTCGTGTTGAAATCGTTTTCTGGGAGATCGTTCAAACAACAAGCAATCTCCGGTGGCTTTTGGCTACATTCTTGACATAACACATTGATGGTGTTCACGATCTCAGACATCGTCAAGAACGTATTTTGTCCAGAAGCACATCCCAGATCAGCTACTTTGATGTAACTAGGAAAGTTTAAGTTTATCATCATTCCTTTTGTGTTCTTAACCAAAATCGGTTTGGCTTTCGATAAAACTCTTTTCTGAAAAAACAAATGAAGATAGATAGATTGAGAAGTAAAAAACTTATGTATGCATGTTTTATGAAAAATAATTGATTATGTAGAAGATGGAGGAAACCTGAAGAAGAGAATTGGTGGAGTAACTGTTGTCTCCTTCTCCACCACTCATACTTAGAGCATTCACAAAAGAGTACCTACTGCTTCCCTCATCATCCCCACTATACTTTTCATAATCGCTCTTACCGTCACACCTGCATCACAAGTATACATACATCTACGTCAATTTAACATACACAATATAACACACACACACATGTATATACAAAGATACATGATTGCAGGCAATCCATGGATTGTGAATTTGAATGGGGAGACATAGAAACCTCAAGGAAGGATTAATGGTGTGGGTAAATCTTAAATCAACTTCTCCCATTATTAAAGTGTTTTAAGAAGAGAAGTTATGTTGTTTAGGGAGGCTAGCACTTCACACATTAATTAATTTATAGAGGTGGGAATTTGATGATGTTCAGTATTGTGCATGTAGAGA